GGGCATGTGCGAGTCCGCGCGGGCTCGCGCCTCAACGCGCACGCGCGCATGTGCGGGCCACCGCGGACATCCGCAGGGAGGTCGCACAGGCATGCGCCTGCCTGCGCCGCTACACGATCTGCGATCTCCGCGTACCTTCCGCATGAGCAGGCATGTGCGGGCATGTGCCTCGGGACGCACGGGCATGTGCCAACAACGGATGCACACAACACAGAACACACGACCCCGCACAGGCCCGGGCGCGCACGCACGATGGGACATCAAGGCCAACAAGGCCCGCAGAGGCCCGGTGCACGCCGGGCACAGCCCGTGCACATGCACGCGCATGCCGCCGCAAAAGGGGCCGCACGTGCACCCGCCCACGCGGCATTCGAAAATGCGAGCTGGCTGCAGTACTGCCGGTGCAAGAAGAAGGAGAAGCCACGAGCACGCTCAGGGGATGATCAAGCAAACCGCAGAGCCCGGCCTCCATGACTCGTACACCCTGGTGAACCTCCCCTCATTGCTCCCGCATGCATCACAACGCAAGGAGCGTGACGAGCTTGACGACAATGCACATACAGAAGAGGTAAGACAAAACGGGGCACTCCACGGTGTTGAATGTGGGTCACAGGTCGCTCTATCTGCTCCATTCTGAGCGCACAATCTCTCTCTCTCTCTCTCTCTTTCTGTCGTTCATCCCTCCCTCTCTCTCTCTCTCTCTCTCTCTCCCTCTCTCTCTCCCTCTCTCTTCCCCCCCTCCCTCTCTCTCTCTCTGTATATATATATATAATAAATCATTATCTCTCTCTCTTTCTCTTTATTTCTTGTGTTCTTGTTTGTTTTTTTTTTTCTCTCTCTCTCTCTCTCTCTCTCCCTCCCTCTCTCTGCCAAGACTAGACGGGTCGTGTCGCATCCCCCCTGAATGATGAAGCTGGGAGGCCCGGGTGATGGCAGTCAACACATGTCCTGGTGTCTTCGCAGGATCACCATTCGCCTTCTCCTCCCTCCCCGTTTCCTTCACCTCGTCGTGTTCCTCTAGAACAAAAGCCAATGGTACGCTCAACAAGAATTACGTCTGGATGCTGTTCCTGTTCCGAGGCTCCTGCCATAATTTGCACTGGCGCACCTGTGAACATTATAATCATGCGTATGTATTGTGTGAGACTGTTCCCATTGTCTTGATGGTTCTCCCTCGCAATCCTTTTTTCCCCACTCTCATCGCACTCCTCATTGCGCTCCCGATCCTCCCGGTAGATCTCCCATCGCCCCCCGAACCCTCACACTCCTCACCCTGACCATCCTCCTCATCACCCCCTAGGGGGGAAATGTCGACGGTTGGTGTGGATGTGGGCTGAGGAGGGCGAAAGTAGGAGGGAGAAGGAGGATGATGAAACAAAAGTAGAGGAGGGTTACGTCGGCGTAGCGTTGCGGAGGATTTGGTATAATAGTTGAGGAAGGTTGATTTGGAGAAGAAGGAAGAAGGGGGAGGAGGCAGGCAGAGAAGGAAGGAAGATGAGGATGGTCGCGAACGATGGTCGATGAGGCGCGTTTGGGAGAAGGAGTAGGGTTTGGTGACAAGGGGTGAGAGTGAGGGTTGAGGATTAGGGTCGAGGAGGGTGTAGTAAGAGGGATGAGGAAGAGGGGGGAGGAAGATGATGGTTCGGGGGGCGGTTGAGGAGCGCTGCGGAAGAGGATGCGGTAGCAGGTTTGAGGAAAGTTGAGTTGGATGGAGGAAACGGGGGGAGTGCAGGGAGAGAAGGGAGGAAGATAAGGATTGCTAGAATCGAAAATGGAAGAGGATAGGTTGAGAGGAGGCTTTGGTAGGACAGGTAAGGAGGAGAGTGAGGAGATTTGAGGAGGAAGGTTTATGAGAGTTGGTGGTTGAAGACGCGATGATGATTATTGAGGATGAAGGTGGAGGCAGATCGAGGAGGACGGTTGAAAAAGAGGGCTGATGAAAAGGGAGCGGGAGGATGAGGACAGGCAGGGTGGAGAAAAATCTCTGAGGGGATGATATGGAGGGTCGAGGGCGAAGGTTGAGAAGGAGGGTTGATGAGGAGGGTCGAGGCGGGCGGCTAGGAAGAAGGGTTGAAGGGACGGATTCACGGAGAGAGCTAAGGGCCTCAGGAGGAATGGTGGGAAGAAGGTTTGAGAAGGAGGGTTGGCGAAGAGGGCTCTGTACTGTTTGTTGGGGTGCTCCTTGTGTCTTGGTGCCCCCAAGCCACACAAGAGGAATCCGCCGACCCACTCGGCGTGGGTAGAGGGGGAAGGGCCCCGGGCCAGATTGCCGCCCCTCCCCTGGGGCCAGGCGGCCCCCCTCCCCTCCCCCGGGCGGCCCCCCAGGAGGGGAACAGCGGCGCGGCCTCCCTGTCGGCAAAGGGGAGCTCCGGACCCCTCTCGCAGGTGACGATACATGGGGCGACTAGCGCAGGGGCGGGCGTGTTGCACGCACTCGCCCCGGAGCCTCGCCGAAAGCACAAATCACCGGCGCCCCTGGATACATGCAGTGTTCCCCCCTGGGCTATTTTGGGCGCCCGAGTTATCCGGGGTAACTCGGGCCCGGGCTATCAACTCGGGCTTGGATTCCCGAAAAACGAACCCGAGTTAGCCCTGACCCGAGTTACCCCTGATGACTGGACGCCCGAGTTATCCGGGGTAACTCGGGCCCGGGCTAACTCGGGTTCGGAATCCCGAAAAGCGAACCCGAGTTAGCCCTGACCCGAGTTGCCCCTGATGATTCGGGGCTCTGACTATTAGCCCTCCGACCCTCGCCCCGCCTCGGCCCCGCCCCGCCCCCGGCCCAGCCCCGGGCCGAGCCCCGGCAGTGGCCCCGCGGCTCCAGCCCTGGCCACCCGGCCCGGCGGTCCCGGCCCCGTCTCCCAGACGCCCGCCCCCGAGCAGCACACGCTCGCCTCCTCCTCCTCCTCCTCCTCCTCCTCCTCCTGCTCCTCCTCCTCCTCCTCTTCCTCCTCCTCCTCCTCCTCCTCTCCTCCTCCTCCTCCTCCTCCTCCTCCTCCTCCTCCTCCCTCCTCCTCCCTCCTCCTCCTCCTCTTCTCCTTTTGCTCCTCCTCCTGCTCCTCCTCCTCCTCCTCCTCCTCCTCTCTCCTCCTCTTTCTCCTCCTCCTCCTCCTCTCCTCTCTCCTCCTCCTCACCCTCCTCCTCCTCCTCCTCCTCCTCCTCCTCCTCCTCTTTCGCCTCCTCCATTTCATCCCCTTGTAAACAACTTCTCCCTGTCGCACCCCGAGGCCGGTTTTTAGGGCGGGCTGGGCGTTTCGCCTGAGACTTCCTCACCAGTTAGGACTCTGAAGCTTAAAAAATGAATCAGCTTTCAAAAATGGAAAGCGGGTGGCTTTCAAAATGTGGCTCTCGCCAAAGCGCCGCGCACTTTCGTTTCCAAAATTTGCAAGAGTGTCACGGATTGAGGGCGGGTCGGTTTCAAAATGTGGCTCTCGCCTGAGCGCCGCGCACATTCGTTTTCAAAAATTGCAAGAGTATCACGGATTGAGGGCGGGTCGATTTCAAAATGTGGCTCTCGCCTTGGCGCCGCGCACATTCGTTTTCAAAATTTGCAAATAGTGCCACGGATTGACGGTGGGCCGACTTGAAAATGTGGCTCGCGCCTGAGCGCCGCGCACATTCGTTTCAAACATTTGCAACACTTTAACGGATTGAGGGCGGGTCGTTGTCAAAATGTGGCTCTCGCCTTGGAGCCGCACACATTCATTTAAAATTTGCAATAGGTTCATTGATTGAGGGCGGGCCGTTCTCAAACTGTGGTTCTCGCCTCAGCGCCGCGCACTTTCGTTTCCAGAATATGCAAGAGTGTCACGGATTGAGGGCGGGTCGTTTTCAAAATGTGGCTCTCGCCTGAGCGCCGCGCATATTCATTTTCAAGATTTGCACGATTTCCACTGATTCCCATGATCAACGAACCAGAGGTGGTGTGTTGGAAGGATTCAGGATTGTGCGGGTGCAACAGTTATGTGGGTCCGCGGTGTTGAAATCGAGAAAAAAGTTATGGCACGATTGCGGATCGTCAAAACGCAGCGGTCAGGTTGATACGTGGCGTTGAAATCCCGAGAACAATGTCTTGGCATGCTTCAGGATCCTCAGACGGTTGTCCTCCAACGAGGCAGTTCCCTCAATAGAAATGAACCGTTGTAGGGGCCTATGAAAAGGAAGCTTGGAGGGAGGGTTAGTTCCTACATCGTTGATGACTCTTGGGTTTCCACTCGTCCTCCTCCTCCTCCTCCCTCCTCATTCAGCTCCTCCTCCTCCTCCTCCTCCTCCTTCAGCTCCGCCTTCTCCTCCTCCTCCTCCTCCTCTTCATGCTCCTCATCGTCCTCGTCCTCCTCCTCGTCCTCCTCCTCGTCCTCCTCCTCGTCCTCCTCCTCTCCTCCTCCTCCTCCTCCTCCTCCTCCTCCTCCTCCTCCTCCTCTCCTCCTCCTCCTCCTCCTCCTCCTCCTCCTCCTCCTCCTCCTCCTCCTCCTCCTCCTCCTCCTCCTCCCTCTCCTCCTCCCCCTCCCCCTCCTCCTCCTCCGCCTCAGCCTTCTTCTGCTCCTCCTCCGCCTCCTCCTCCTCCTTCTCCCTCCACCGCCCGCCCCATGTCCCGAGCTTGTGGCAGGGTCATCAGCTAATCGTTGTCGTTGTCGTCGTGGTCGTCGTCGTGGTCGTGGTCGACGTCCTTCTGGGTCGGCGGCACCGGCCGTAAGGCCTTCACAACATCAGTGTGCAGGGCCGCGGCCCGGGGGGGTCGCCCGAAGGGCCGAAGACGACGACGCCATTCGAAGACCATGTTCGCCACAATCTCGAAACCACCACAGCTACACCCCACCACAATCGCATGCCGCCAGTCGGATGGGCTTCTGCCCTAAGACAGCTTCGACTATAGAGTCGTGCTTGCGAGAAACGCCTCCTGGAAGACGAGTCACCGTCCCCACAACTGCAAGACGATATCTTGAGACATGCTCAACAAGTGCATCGTGAACTCGGGCTGGTGCCCATGAGCCCCAAGCTGCTCATTCGACGCACTCAGAGGTTAACCCAAGCTGCTCCACATCCCCTCCTACCTGAACGCCGTGAGTCTGCTTCAACTGCGACAGCGTATATTCTCTCAGCGTCAAGTCGTAGTGATCGACTTGAATGCCAGACCTGCTGGGGACAACGTGGAAGGACAAAAGCGTATCCCAACACAAGCACAAGAGAGAGCGGGCCATTTTCTCGGCGTGGTGGCTTACCCTCGCTCCGCAAGTTACGGCATTGGGTCCGAAAATCGGGCCCCGCCGTCCCGTCCTAATTGCTGCGCCGTATCAGTTCGGAACTGATCTTGCGCAGCAGGTGATGCGGTCTGACTGTTTTGCCCATCTCGTGCGAACTTTTGCTGGGCTGTTGGATGCAGCCGGATGTCGTACATGACGACTGTCGTTGTACCTCAAGAGGTCCAGCGTGCGTCAGGAAATCCTAGAATCTACTCAGGGTCACGGCTCAACTGCAACCTCCCCTCTCCGTCTGAGAATCCAAACAGATTGCATCCGACTTTGCGCAGAACCTTGATAATGGATATGAGTTCATATGTTGGAGGATTGGTGTGGCAGGAGCAGTTCGCGTCAACCTAGGGATGGGAGGGTGAAGTAGATCTGGCAAGGCGCCTCTGGAATACTGCAAACATTCACACGACACATTCATGCTGACCTGCGGCTTCAAATTGCCAGCGCGCGCGGGCTGTCTACGGCACGGCGAGGTAGAAAGAAGGAGATATGGGCTGCAATGCGCATGGGGTCTTAGAAATATGTCAAAGCGAAGGGGCACGGCGTCCCACGTGAAGCGACTCTGAGAAAGACGAGCGGGCCTTGACAGCACAGGCCGGAAAACCACCCTCAAAACATCTGCCAATGAGGCGCAAAACTGGCCCTGGCGGACTGGTGTATATATTTTGGCCCAATGTTTCAAGGAGAACAAGCGGGAAACAGATCCACCAATCGAAAACGCATTGAACAATATCCGCCAATCCCCCCAGCAAACACCAGAATCGATATAGATGTTCGCCTGGAGGAGGGGGGGTGGCAGGACCGCGGGCACCAATGCTGAAACCATTGGGGAAAGAACAGGCGATAACAGAATCGGAAAAGAGGGGGGCGACGAAAGCGTCACAAAAACACTCGGCACCAACGTCGTGACATTGCATTGGAACATCATGCCACACCGCGCACCTGGGTTGCAACTCGACGCCCCATGCAAGTTCCCTAAAATCACAATGGTCAAGGGAATTCATCACCTGATATATTGCGTGCTCCAATCGAGATTTCCCACAAAGCCCCCGAGAGGCCCAAAAGAGGCTCCTGGAGGCCTCAAAACGGCTCCCAAGAGGCCTCAAAAGTGCTGCCAGGAAAACCCAGAGAAGCCCAAAAGCAGAGCCGAGATCCGCCAACCGCCCCCGACGAAATCCCAAGAAGCTGAAACCCCAAGATTTTCCAAAGATCGTTCCACAAACTCAGTTTTTCATTCTTACTGCCGCCCCAAGGGGTCGGCGGTGCGACTTCAGCCAATGAATCAATGAATCGACACCGAATGTGGAATCACTTCCGATGGTTGTTTCGGGGGGCCATTTTCCAGATGTTGGGGCCTATGTGGAAGGACCGAAAACCATGCCGTGGCATGGCGCTGGAAATAATGACGCCAGCGCTGCAGCGGGAGCACGAATCGGAACGAGCAGAAGCGCGGAAATGAGGCCAGCGCTGCAACGGGAGCACGATTCGGAACGAGCGGTAGTCAGAAAATGTGGCCAGCGCCTCAGCGAGAGCAACATTTTGAAAACAAAACACGAAAACCGTTTTCCTGGAATCCTATGTAAGATAACCAGAACGCGGAGGGGACCGGACATGTCCCAGACGTCACCAGGGGAGAGAGGAGAGAAATATTCATATTGTGTAACTGTAGAGGAAGAAAGGGGTCGGAAGAGGGAGGTATCAAAACCACTCACGCCCTAAAGGGCTGGTGTGATTTTAGCCCCCTCCTCTGGGACCGTCAAAAGCGCCTCTTGGGGCCCACAGGGGCTCCACTTGGTCGCTTCTGGGAGGCCTCTTGGGGCGTCTTGGGCGTCTCTTGGCAATCCCGGGAGTCTCTTGGAGCATCTTGGCTGCCTCTGGGGGGGGAGAGGCACTTGATGTCTCTGGAGGGCCTCTTTGAGACTGCTTGGGAGTCCTTGGAAGTCTCTTGGGAGTTTCCTTGGAGCCCCTTGGGCGCCTCTTGGGGCCCTCTTGGGAACCTAGGGGGCCCTCTTGGGACCATGAAAGAAAGAGAAGGAGAAATAAGCAGAGAGCCCAGAGAAAGAGAAAAAAGAAGAGAGCCGCGTCAACTGCCATATAAGTTCTGCCCCAGAAAAAAAAAGGCGCTGAGGCAAAATAACTTTTCGCTTCAAGCGGCTTAGAAGATAATCCGGTAAGACAAGGTAGCAGCCCACATGATAGGATCGCACGAGAGAGCCCCAATCGCCAGGGTGCCAACAGATGAGGTGACACACGATCTGGCCCAGCGATGCGACCCCACAAGATCGGACCCCAGATGAGGGGCCCGACACGGTATGGGTACGGCAGGTTCGTGTCGTGCCGACCCCAGCGTTGGTTTTTGACACCGCAGGGATCGTTCAACCTTGAACGATCGGCCGCTGCCGCAACGTCCGATCGTTCAACATCGATCGATTCTGGGTCGCTGGCGGCGTTCAACCTTGAACGTCCGCGCTGGGGTCGCCGCTGGTCGACACGACGCAACCCTACCGTACCATCACGACCAGATCCCAACACGATCGGGCCCCAAAGGATATGGTCCGACGGTCCGGCACGATCGTCTCACAGGATAGGGCCCCAGACGACAGAGTCCCACCCGCACGATAGGCGCCCACACAAGGGGGCCCAACACGACAGGACCCTAGACGAGGTTATGAAGCAAGTCCTGGGAGGTCTTTGCTGGAACGATTACGGGCGATTCAGCCCGACTGGAGGGCCACTTCGCCGGATGAATCCAAATGAGCCCCGGAATTAAACCGGATTTCGCCAGATTAAACGGGATTAAGCCAAATTAAGCTGGATGAACCCAGATTGAGCCGGCTATCGACCGCGAAAGTACCAGCGCCGAGGCAGAATCTAACCTCTCAGGAGTTGCATCCCAGGCGAGTGTCGCACACGATGACGGGGCGCAGGAAAGTTTGACACGTGGCAATGTCGCACTTGACGGCAAAACGCACAATGAGGGCCCACACGACGGAGTCCAACACGGCAAGGTTCCACCCTGTAGGGCCCCAGACGACAGGGACCACCCGACAACGTCCCACACGACAAAGTACCACACACCAGCTGCCGTTCTCCACGAAATGGTCCCACAACATGGGGCCCCAGACGAGAGGATCGGCCAGACAAAACCCTGCACGCAAAGAAACCATAGATCGCTCCTCATACATTACACTTGAGTTTCACGGAGCCGCTGTTGGGACCCACGCCAATATCACCCACTGCAAATCTGACAAGGACACCCATCATGTCATTGAGGGCGCAGTGCACCAGCGAACATGGATAAAGAGAGCTCGAGACTGCAGAATGCATAGGCGAGTGCAGCGCAACATGCACATGTGTCGACTTCACGAAGGATAACCAACACTGGCTGACTCGAGCTGCAATGCCAGACCCAGACGCAGAAACCAAGTGCACCGATACGAACGGCAGCAGGTAGTGGTAGACCTGCGCATCAACTTCTGGCAGCACGCATTCACGTAGTGGACAATGGAATCCACCAAACATATGCGTATGAACATGTGTGCTCAAGCAACTATATCGTTGCATATGTCTACGAATCCGAGACGTGAACCTCTGGCTAGCCATATCTGTTCTGCAGTCTCTGGTAACCAATAACTGTTGTGCCACTGATGTGGTGCAACCTATGCAGTGCAATGTGTGTGGTGTTGTATATGTGGTGCAAAAGGCGTTGACCAACTATGGTGCTCAATGTATGCCGTGTCGTCTATAGTGTTCAAACTATGTGGTTCGACATGTGTTGGGCAATCTTGGTGGTGCAATACACGTGGTGCGAACTATGTGGCACCAGCTATGTGGTGCAAGCTGGGTGGTGCCGTCTACGTGGTGCGGTATATATATATATATATATGTATATATATTGTGCAATCTGTGTAGTGGTACCTTTGTGTACCTTTGTGGTGCGGAGTATGTTGTGTAATAAATGTCGTGTGACCCACGTTGCGCAATCCAGGTGGTGCTATATTTGCCGGGCGATCTAAGCCGAACGACCGAAGTGGTGCAATCTATGTGGTGCAGCTCACCTGTGGAACTCGCAATTGTCACCCCCCCTGCTCGCGCAATCATCCCACCCACCCGCCCGCAACTTGTTTTGCAAAACGCACGCGGCGGCGCTTGTGATGAGTGCTTGGTGGCGGCTGGTGCATCTCTGCGGCCGCGCTAACCAGCGCATGCTCGCGCGCGGAGCGGCCAGCTAGTTTGGCGCGACCGACGCGGCCGCGGTGGCGCTGACAACTGGGCACTTCCAGGAGGGCACCTCAATTCGAATCGGCCACTTGGGCGAGCGCGGTATCATGGCAACGTCGGTAACTGTAGACACGACGATGATAGTAAAGACGCTGGTGACGAACATGGCAACGGCGACGGCACGGCCAGTGACGGCGCCGATGCTGATCACGCCGATGACGATGACGGCGTCCTCGCGTCGGTGATGAAGTTCGGCATGCGCGCACGGCCGACGCGCGACAGTGGCCAACATGGTATTATTCGACACGGGTCGTGCCCCCCCCCTCCCCCACGCACGCGCGCAAGGGCGTTCGAATGATTCCGACATGCGGCGCGAGAGGCCCACTTGGCAGAATGCAGTGAACATGTTAAACAACTTATGGCTTTCTTAAGAACTCACGAAAACGCGCGCGCATGCTTTTCATTTGGTTGACAACTGGCGTTGCAAAGCCATGTGTGCTCTAAATGTTTCGGGACATTCGATTTTGGAACCCCTTACGAGGCCTGAGGAGTTTGAGAGATTCCGGCGCACGCACGCGACGACGCGCGCGCGTGCATTGCTTCCCTTTTGTTTGCAAGGGATTCTTGCGACAGGACGCGCGCAGGGGCGTTCGAACGATTTCGACATGCGCGCGCGAGAGGCCCGCTCAGCAGCATGTAATAAAAGTTTGAAAAAAAACAATGTTTTTGTTTTCAGAATTCGCAAAAACGCGGGTGCACGTGCGTTTGAAAAACCGAGTTTCGAAACGATGTGTTTTTTATGTGTTCCAGACGCTCGGGTTTGAAATCCTTGCGCAACAAAAGGTTGTTGAATGATTTTGGCATGCGCGCGCAAAGGCGCGCGTGTGTGCACTTCGTCCCACCTTGTTGTACGGGATTATTGAAACCTGCTGGCTTTTGATGCTGGTTTTCCTACATGGGATGAGGGGGGATGCTGGCTTGCCCGGGATGGCATTAGTCCATATCTAGGATGGACGACGAAACATAATCATATGCGAATTGCAATACGGAGACAGGGGTGCGTTAATTCTGAGGGGTGTAGATCCTACTCCTCTTTGAAAAAGATAATATACGTGTTGCCTGGTGCATCTCTGCGGTCGCGCTCGCCCGCGCATGCTCGCAGGCGCACCGGCCCATTAGTTTGGCGAGATCGACGCGGCCGCGGTGGCGCTGACCGCTGGGCATTTCTCAGCTGGAATTTCGGTGCGACTCGACGACTTGAGCGGGCGCGGTATCATGGCAACGTCGGCAACGGTAGACGCGAGGATGATAATACCGATGCTGGTGGTTATGATGACAACGACGACGGCAAGGCCAATGACGCGCCGACACTGGTCAGGCCGATAACGATGACGGCGTCCTCGCGTCGGTGATGAAGGTTTTGGGAGGACCTCATCATGCACGCACGGCCGGCGCGCGAGAGCGGCCCGCATGGTACTATTTGAAACGGATCGTACCCCCCCCCAGCACGCGCGCAAGGGCGTTCGAATGATTTCGACATGCGGCGCGAGAGGCCCGTTTAGCAGAATGTAATGAACAGGTTGAACACGTTTCGGCTTCCTTAAGAATTCACAAAAGCGCGAGCGCAGGTTTATTAAAAAAACTGGCGTTGCAAAGCTATGTGTGTTTTACACGTTTTCGGGGCACTCGATGTTGAAACCCTTGCGAAACCCAAAGTGTGTGAACGATGTCGGCGCGCGTGCGACGACGCGCGCGCGTGCATTGTTTCCCTTTCGTTTGCAAGGGATTCTTGCGACAGCACGCGCGCAGGGGCGTTCGAACGATTTCGACATGCGCGCGCGAGAGGCTCTTATGGTATCATTGTGTGAATTTTGAAGCAAACAAATGGTTTTCGCAAGAATTCGCAAATGCGCGGGCGCAAGTTTGTTTGTGTGGAAGTTCGTGTTGCGGAACAAATGTGTTTCATATGTTTTCGGGGAAATGTGTTTTCAGGAAACTCGATTTTGAAACCTCTGCGGGACAAAATGTTGTTGAAGGCCTTTGGCATGCGCGCGCGAGGACGCGCGCGTGCACTTCGTCCCAACTTTTGCAAGGGATCTTTTTAAAGCTAGAAATGATATTTTTCAATCAACGGCAGTACTTTTCGCAGGGAATGCAAGGGAGCGGATACCGGCCTGCCTGGGATGATACGAATTGATATTTAGGATGGACGATGGGGCTGAATCATATGTAAATTGCAATACGAGACGGGGGGGCGTTAATTCTGAGGGGGGGGAGATCTTAATACTCCTGTATATAGGAGAATCGATGCGGCGCAATCTAGAAGCGGCGACTGGGCGGCAACGAATCGGACGCCCGAAATGGGGACGGAAAGAATGGGTACAATGCCCAACAATACATGTTGTCCCAAACCAACAGCGGCCGCTGCTGGGCAGGCGGCCTTTTCTCTCGAATGGACACAGGCCGCGGCGGCGCGGACAGCGAGTCCTGTTCAAAATGAATAAGAACTGCTGTTGGGCATTGTGCCCATTCGTTCCGTACCGGGTTCGTTCCTGCCGAAACGATGTGGCGACGGCGAGCACGGAGCCGCCAGACCACGGCGACGAAGCAGAACTCGATTGAAAAGCAAAGCAAACGCAATCAAGGCAAAGCAATGCAACGCCAAACAATGCAACGACGAGGCGACGACCTTGCGGCGACGGCGAGCACGGAGCCGCCAGACCGGCCCGCAGGCCCAGCTCCTTAGAACAGATGTAAGAACGCCTAAGTGCAAGCACTGTTTGGGGAATCTCTCTCTCTATATATATATATGTGTATGTATACACATGCACATATGTCGCCATCAATTCATCAAAAGCGTGCCCTGTCGCGGCTGGAGTGTGTCGGGCTCCTAGCGCCTTCCTTGTTCCCTGCGGATAGCAAGGGCTGGGCGTCGCACCATCGCCGGGAGGCCGGTATGCGTGTTCTCTGGGGGGGAATCCGCCAGCATCTAATTCTACTCTTCTCTGTTGCAGCAGCGGTGCCGCCCACATCCCCCCCAGGGTTCGACAGCGGATTCGCGCAGCAGCGCAGATTGATAGAACACTGTGGCCTCTTCCACTGCAAAGACCGAATTTGCCAATCCCATGGGGAGGGACTCCAGCGTGTGAGACGGTTGGCCCTTCCCAAACCCATCCCTCGGGAGCCCTGATCAGCCGATCTGGAAAGGGGGGCCCATCTGGCCAAGCAGAGCTTCCAAGCTCGCCAAAAATCTGCCCCAGAGGGCCAGAGGGCCATCAGACGGCCTCAGGATGGCCCCGAGACGGCCCAATATGGCCTCAGGAGGGCCCAAGAGGCCACCAAGACGGCCTAAACACAACCCCAAGAAGACACCTAAGGCTTCCAGATTCCAGACCCCAGAATCACTGATTGCCTTCAGAAAGGACCCCAGGACAGCCCACGAGGGCCCCACGTGTCCCCATGAGTCCCCAAGTTGGCCAAAAGGCTCCTTATGCGAGCCCCCGGAAGGGCCCGCGACGGGGAAATCGAACTCGCCTTCCGAGACCCTTCTCCTAGACAGCCCCAAGGTCCCTAAGAGGTCCCCACGATTCCCCTCCAAGAGGCCTCCAACAGGCCCCCAAGAACCCCCAAGAAGCACTCCAAGGGGCCTCAAGACGCCCTTTGGGCTCCTCGGCGTATGAGAGACGTGCCCCCCAAAAACCTATTATCGCACGGGAGCCCGGTCTGGCCAGGTCGTAGGAGGGGTTCCTCCGATGGTGCCCGCGGACGGACCTGCCAGAAGAAGGCTCCGATGCGCGCCAAGATTACCCAAGACAGTTCCGTGACGGACCACAAGTGCTTCGGTCCAAGACTGCTCGAGCGCGCCCAATGAGCACGTCCAGGCTGGCCGCAAGACGGCACCAGACGCATCCAAGAGGGCGCGAAGACGGCCCACGAGGCCCCCAAGACTACCCCAGAGGCGTACAAGAGCCCCCAAGATGGACCGACAGGCACGAAAAGGGCCCGCGGCATGCTTCAACGGGTATCTGAAGTGACGGACCCCTCTCCCTGGCGGCGCGGAGCGCGCCAATGGCGGCGCTGGAGGCGCCGCCGGGGGGGCCCAGCGCGGATCCAAGAAATCCGTGCGGAGCGCCACAAAAAGTTGCTGTTTACGTAGTTTTGTTCTTCTTCGATTGAAGGCCCCTGCTACGCTTAAAGTCGGGCCTGTCCCTCTACAGGGGGAATATTCAAAAATAGGTTAAACAAACCAAAAAATGGGGACGAGTTGTTGACTATTTGGGGTATTTTTGTTGAATCTTGTCGACTATTTCTTAGCTTTCGTCCAACATCCCCATGTGGGGGGGGGGACATGCCCGACCTAATGCTGCGCGGACGTCGCCACCACCACGCGCAGCAGCCCCCGAGATCCGCACCATCCCCTTGCCCCCGCAGCCTCGGGGCTGCGGGGCGCGTCGAAGGCGCTCCTCGGCCTGCTGCTCGGCCTCGTCGTGGACGCTCTGCCTGTCCGTGCGGGGGGGCCACCTGGCCGTGGGCACCTTTGGAAGGGGGCCCAGGGGCACGCAAACCAATACACACAAATCCCAGGATTCCCCATCTTTCCCCATATTTCCTGGGTTTTCGCCTTCCCCTCCCGCTTCCCATATTTTCCCATCAGTTCCTGGGCATCGACGATGCATTGTGTCTGTGTGCTCTGCCCCCTCCTAAACCTTGCGGGACAGAGCGAGGCCGCAGCCGCACACTTCTCAGGGACTCCACCAGGGCGCCGGGC